GGTCCTTGTGGTCCACGCTCACCTTTCAGTCCTTTTGGCCCCGTTTCTCCTCTATCACCTGCCTCACCCTGCTCCCCTGGTAGTCCCCGCTGTCCTCGTTCTCCTTTCGGGCCAGCATTCCCCATCCTTCCCAGCGGTCCTTCAGGTCCCTCTTTGCCATCTCGTCCTGGTGATCCTGGCGGTGCTTGTAATGCTCCATCCATCTGTAATGGAAAACAAGCCTGAAAACAAAATTTGCAAATAATTTCTCTTCATGTATAATTTTTTGACTTTGAAACAATACATTACTGAACTTACTCATTTCGACCGTGAAAATAGCGCAAATAATTGATAAAAGAGTAACGAAAAGATACATTGGCACTAACATTCTGAACTTATTTGCGTTTGCGCAAATAGCAATTGAAATTTTTTGAATTTTCTTTTAAAACTTTAAAAAATTTATAAATTTTTTTTTGAAAGACGAAAATTTAGCAAAGGAGAGCAGAGATTTTACATAAATGAAACTTTTTCTCATTTCTTGGTAGTTTTCTTAAAGCAGATAGCTTTTTGCTGATTATAATTGAAAAATTCCGGCTGAAAAAAAAATTATAATGTTTTTGAAATTTGGAAAAAAAAATTTAAGATTTAAATTGAATTTTAACGAAACAGATTTCAAACTACAGTTTTCTATTTATGTTAGGAACTCGAATGTCTGATATGAATCTTTTCAGATTTCATAAAACAAAGAAATCATTTCAAGAATTCTTTGTGAAGTAGTCATATAAAATGTATCAAGGCACATTTTAACAAAATCATGTTGGATAAAAGGATAGATGATTTCAATATAAAGAAGAAGAGATGATTAGATGATAATCATTAAATATAATACAAGATAAAAACCATCGCGTATGAATTAATTTACAGTAATTTAACCATTTTAACAGTGAAAAAAAAGTAGAAAAATTAGTTATTCAGTTTAACCCTTGAAAGAAAAAAAGATGTAAATGAGCTAAATGTAGTTCATTAACTTACAATTTATTAATTTTTAATTCATTAACTTACATTCATTAACTTACAATTTATACTTTGAATGAGAAATAATTCAATAGCATAGATTATTTTTTATTATTTGGAATCATTTCCGTTTTTGACAACTCCAGTAATTCACGAAGCTCCTGTAATTAAATTACGAGGCTCTCTTTTTAGGTAATCCCAAATATTAAATATATTCAATTGTTCCGGGAACGTTAATTCTGCAAAAATTAGCAAATTTATCAAGTATTTAGCAAATATGATAACATATGATGAGCAGTGTTGCTTATTGATCGTAAAATAACGCAAAAATTTGCATTTTCGTTTCTTTTTTTTAAAATTTTCCATATTATTATTATTATTAAATCAAGCACATTACATGTTTTTCTAATCTCATTCCATTCAAAGCAAAAATTCAGCAATTCAACAAATCAATTTAAGAAAAAAAGAGTGAAGAAAATAAAATAGTTCTCATCTCGACAGAAAATTATCTCGTGTACTCGAGATGATATGCAAATATATCACGTGATGTATTTCAAAATTTGTATATCTTTTAATGGAGAAGATAGATGTGGGGAATTTTCGAAATTGTTTTTCATTTATCGCTAACGATCATATTTGCTTAACTTCGTAACGTCAATATTGGTGATACATATATCGTATTTTTTATTAATAGTTAAAAAATTTTTTACAAAATTTCGATTTTATCAAAATGTCTTTATTTTATAGCTTTTTAAATTTCTCAATTATTTTTTATTTTTTCAACTTTTTAAAAATTTTTTTCTTTTTTTAATAAAGAGTATAAGCTTTCAACATGCATTCGATTATCATTTATGCCTTCGTTTTATTTTTTCACTGCAATTTACTACAAAAATCACACATAAGAACGCATATTTTATGCAAGAAAAAAAAAAAAAGAAAATTTGCCAGGAAGTCATACAGTGAAAATTCTTTTAACTTATCGAGTTTCTGGAAAAGAATTCCGAAATTCAAAAGATATTGAAAAGGAATTCAAAAGTGTAAAAATTCAGAAATCACAAAATAACTCAAATATTGAAAAAAAAAATTCAAGTTGATAAAATTTTCAAAAGATTTGAAAATTATTTAGAAAGTAAGCCAAAACATTTGAAAGTCCAAAAGCTAAATGGAAAATAACAAAAAATTGAAAAAAAAACACCAAAAACTTGAAATATTTTTCAGAATTATTCAGAAAAAAACAGGCATCATCACTGATCAGGTCATTTCGAATTGCTGCTGATCATTGATGGTCACTTTCTCATCTTATCGATATTATTTCACAAATAATACCTGTTTCCGTCTTTCCTTTTCATCATTTTTATTTTCGATTTTTCATTTAATAATTATGTAATTGAAACATAGGAAAATTGATTTTCCTTCTTGTAATGGCATAAAATTCTCGCGGATATAATACTGCTTATTATTGCTTTTGATAGAAATCATGATCAAATGATTTGATGAATTGCATGCTTGCTAATTCAATAATACCGAGTAATTAGTCGCTGTGATTTGAAGGTTAAGTTTAAATCAATCATTTCTTTTATAGCTTATTAAAGGCTAAAGTCAATTTTGAATTTTTAATATTTGCAAAAGGAAATGAGCAAAAATGCAAAATTTTAAGATGAATTTTTCATCATGAGCGCCAGAACCATTGGAGAAGTTTTGTTGTGGAAAATACTAATTGATTGATAGAATTGATGATCTACACTGACAGATCGAATGATAATGATTTAATTTCGAAAGTGTCCTTCTATCTCTCTATCTGTTTTTCAATGGAATATCTACTATTCTTTATCACCGTCTAAATATCATCATTACCATTGTTATCAGTCATATTATGAATAGAATGTTATTGATATCGCTAAAGATTGACATGACACATTTTTGCAGGTAGAAGCATTCATAACATGACAATATGACACCCATTGCAATTATCTAATTAATTAAAATTAATTAATATATTTCTCAATGTAAAAGATTGCTTCGATGATTGCAATGAGTGAATGCAAGGCGGTGTAATTAAGATACGGCGAGTTTCCGGAAGGAGTTTGTATTGAAATTAGTCGTTGGAAAACTTCTCCTAGAAGATATATCTTATTTTTATTACTAAACATCTTAATTCTTGCGTAAAAAATTCAAACAATAATAATAATTAATAATAATATA